AAATTATGAAAAATTTAATGATGCTAAACATCTGTAAATGCAATGTATTAAAAATAACGAGAACAGAAAATCCATAGTTCTACAGGTTTTTCTAGTTGTTGAGCATCAAATCATATTTCCCAGTGAGCTATCTGTTTCCAAATTTTAAGCTCCTATCCTTCTAATAAGCCTCTTCATCAGTGAACTGAAAGGTACATGCATTGGATTTAGCCAAACACACACACAAGGATGTCGATATGTATGCATGGTTTTAAGATATTAATATCTCCTCAGGATGAATTTTGATGGAAAAACATTTCAGTCAAATTAACACTGTTGTTCATGAGTATACCAGAGCATTAATGCCTTATCCAGTATCACTCAAAATTCAAGAGTGTCTGCATAAAAGCTTTGATATTTTCTCTCTATCCCCTACTGTATCACTTTAGCACTTTCTTGTCTTCCTTCCTGGCCAGGCAGGGGTTTAGCCAGAGTGACTGGGAGGAGAGCATGCATTGGTTCTGATGTGGGGAGCTGTCAGTTTTGTTAGAACATCCAAGAAGAGTGGGGATCAGAAGGTCAGGGCTGTAAATTCAATCTTTAAGACTTGAAGATGGCAGCTGTAACAGTGTGAATAATTCCCATCTTTCCAATGGATGAATAGTCAGTTTGTGTTAGTGCAAAGGGGAAAGGTGCGAGGAGTCTGGAGCAGAGCTGTGGATAATACTCACTATGTTACTCCTCTTTATAGCTGTCTGGGGTGAGTTGGGGACAGCCCAAATCTGCACAAAGAAAACAAGGACAACACTGACAGGAGCCCTATTGGTAATTAGCAGGTGATCAACTTAGAATTTAATTCAAGGGATCGTGGCTTCAGGGAAGGACTTATAAACCCCTATCCTGGATTGTAGTAGTATTATAACCCATAATTACATAAAGAATGCATGGATTGTTTTTTACAAAAATGCATTGCCTTACATACTTGCCTAGAAATGACAGTCATGTGCATCTTTTCTGCTCAACCACACAATTTTATGGAATCTTCCAGATGTCTCTACCCCGTAGATTGTCATGTCACTACAAGAGAAGCTCTAAATGTGGATGTAAATCTAAATGTTTCATTGTGCACTCTTCTATCAGACTACCTGTGAAAATATGATCAGTGGAAGAGACTGCTGTTATACAGTTTCCTTGGAATAATTCTTAACTATTCCCATCTTGTTTGCTAAAAAGCCAGTTTTTATTCATAAGCAACAATTCCTCATAATCCTAGGATAATTCAAGGATCTTCATCCAAATGCAGATATTTGTTGTCTTCAATGTACAAGGCATATGGAATCTTAGCAAAATTTGTTGAAAAATATACATAAATCACACCTGCATGTTCTCTTTTACTCACATACTAGTTTATCTTCCAAAAGAAAGGAAACTTGAATCGATTTAACCAACTCCACATGAAGACCCTACTGTTGTGCATCTTGTGCTGACTGGAGATGGGTCAGATTTTACTAAAAATCAGCTATCCAGCAATATTTTTCTTCATGGAGAATATTTCAGAGGGGACAATAATGCTCCATCACGGCATTGTGCACAAAAGGATGTGAAGTAGTCATGCAAGAAAAGCCTTACTTATAAGTGAAGGAGGGAACATTGAAGAAGACAAAGAAAAAAATATTGCCACTGTGCCATTCTGGAATGTATATTTATCCAGTGTCTTAAATTATACTAGAATGTGGAACCCTGGGGTTTGCTTTTATTCATTGCTGTATCCTCAGCATCTGGAAAAGTACTTGGCACATATTAGGTGCTTAATAAATAATACTGTAACAGTATTTATATAGCATATCCTATAAAAATATTTACACTGTAATAACACTTATATGTTGTATAGTATAATAACCATACCATGATACTTATGTGAATATATAACTTATACAGAAATAGGTATTCTAATGTGGTATTACACAGTGCTTATTGGAGGCATGGGCTGGCTTATTATATATTATTAAATTAATATTTTGGTGTCATTGGTATTGGCTCTTTAAGCCACTAATTAGTTCCTGGTCCCCACGTGGCCTTTGTGTATCAAGGTGAGGATGGGACTCTGAGGGTGGGAGAATGGAATTTCTAGGAAGTCAGCCAAGCTGGCGTGTGAACAAATAGGTGCCAGAAATACCTTCCACCCCATGCACAAGTACACACGTTACACACCATAGATAGCCATAGGCTTGACCCTAAATCCTGCTAGTTTGTTATTATTTAGACCTCTATTTTTAGCTTGTAGTTTTGATCATGAATTCTAGCTTGTCAATTCATTTACCGCCATAGTGAACCTTTGGTGTCTTCAGCGACTGCCCTTCCCTCTACTAGTCAAACGTATTAGCTCATTGGCAGCTTTTTCCTAGAGTTCTTAAGAAACATGATTTTATTTACGTTTGAATTAAAATTTTATTTACAAAGGAAAAAGCACTTTGACTAATTGATTTGGACTACAGTATTGATTGCAGGGCCTTGGGTCACAAGATATAAACTCATACATTCTTTATGCAACAAATATTGATGGAAGTGTATCCATCAGTCTGATGCTATACCAGGTACTATGTCTGTAAGGCTCTGCCCTCTGAAAGGCTCACAGACGAGGAAGAGGGACAACCACATAATAACAATGTAGCATGATAAAACCTCTAAGAGAGAGACCTGCCCAAAGGAGTCAGTGATTGGCACAGCTGTAAGGAACACTCAGGGAAACTTCTGTCGAGTGAAGATGCTTCAACTAAGTCTTGAAGGTTGGATAGGAGTTCAGTGTAAAAGTGTGTGCATCCCGGGAGAATTGGGGGCAGGTGGAGGAAGCATTGTACACTACAAACCTCAGAAACGGCAGAGTCAGGTTTTCCTCAACACATTATTCGAATTAAAAATGTTGCTGATGTGTTACACAAAACCTTGAAAATATCTGAGCAAACTCTAAACTCTTGCTACTCAAAATGCCGTCTGGTGGTCAGCACCACCCATGAGCAGATTGGAAATACAGAATCTCACTCAGGCTCACCATAGACCTACCAGACCAGAATCTGCATTTTAACAGTATCCCCAGGTAATTCACATATACGTTAACATCTGTAAGTACAAAGCCAAAGCCATTCTTTTTGGAAGATTGAATCTTCTGTCAGAGGAGTTTGGGGCACTTTTAAAACTGAAACTGATAATTGAATAATGCAGTAAACATGTGTGAAGTTCATTTTGACAACAGCATGGAAATCTATAGGAGATCTATAGTAAGCCTGTGGCTGTTTAACTTTGGGGACTAAATTTTTCAGTTAGAAATTGATCACTATCTACACTTTAGCTGCTGCGAAGGGGTGGAAAATGGGCTAGGCTCACCTCTTTTCCTTTAAGGAAAAGGCTCACGTTTTCCTTTGATTGGATGGATGACCTTAGGCGAACTCTTCAAACTCACTGAGCCTCAGTTATTTCATCATTTATAGGCATCTCCTTATTTGCCAAGTGAGGGACCATGGTACCTGCCACACAGGTGTCTCAGTAGGATCCAAAGAAATAATGTGTGGCACAATGCTTTGCAAGTGATGAATGGAATAGGTTATGATTTAAATATCTGCATAGAAAAATACATATTTGTAGAGCATTTACTATGATCTAAGACCTACAATAAACTTACCTAAGTTCAAATATATTTGTTGTAATTAAAATAAGCAAAGCAAAACAGATATATTTCATGCTTGTTTAAGGAGAGTAGTGTCAAGAGGAAATTAAAACAAGCACTTAGTAATATATGCACCCCTGTGTTATTGCAGTGTTATTTATAATAACCAAGATATGGAAGCAATGTTAAGTGTTAATTGATGGATAAATGGATAAATGGATAAATGTTATATATATAT